TGGGCCTTGCCTGCTCAGGAGGGCGAGGGGCAGGGCTGCCGCTTGGAACCCCCCTCTCTCCCCTCCCCTCTGGGAGTCAGCTGCCCTCAGGGTCTCCGCTCACCTGGCAGGCAGGCAGTCCTCCACCTGTCAGGCCAGGCCACGCCTCCTCTCCGTCCAGACCCCGCCCATAAGACAAGACCCGCCCCCTGGACGTGGCCCCGCCCCGCGCACGTGACGCTCTCGGCGCTCCCAACCCCGCCTGCCTGGGTGGATGTGATCGGCGCTCCTCAGCTCACTGGCTGGGCGCGCGCACGCACGCACGCGCGCACGCACGCACGCACGCACGCACGCAGTACGTCCGCGGTTCGCTTCCAGCCGCGGCGGCCTCGGTGGCGGCCTGACGGGACCCTGCGCCCGGCCTCCTCGAGCGGAATGCGGCGCTGACGAGCGCGGACCCTCCGCGGCGGCGCCATGAACCTCCTGCCCTGTAACCCCCACGGCAACGGGCTGCTCTACGCCGGCTTCAACCAGGACCACGGTGAGTGCGCCCCTCCCCGGCCGGGCCCCTCCCCTGTAGCCCCCAGCGCGGCGGGCCTCCGCCCCCCGGAGCCCTCACCGCCGGGGCCTCTGCCCCCCAGACACCCCTTCTCGGCCGGGCCTCTGCCCCCGGGTTCCGCCTGGCCGGGCCCCGCGCCCCGCCCTCCCGCCGCCGTCCCCATTCGGAGCCGGGGTGCGGGCCGAGGCCGGGGCGGGTCCCGCTCCTCTGGGCCTTTCGCGATTCTCGGGTGGCGGCTGCTCCCTGTCCGGTTGCCCCTCCAGGCCGCGCTCCCCGTCCCGTGTCCCCGCCCGGCGGCCCGCGCGAGCCGAGGCCGGAGCCCCCTGAGCCGCACGTCCACCCCTCGGGCCACGTCCCCTCCGTCCCGGCTCCCGCCCGGTGGGACCGTGGTCGGGTTGTCCCGCTGCAGGTCTTGGCGTCGCCTCGAAACTCGGCCCCCCCTCGTTAAAGATCTTTAGCAAATAAGCCGAACGTTACTTAAAAACGCGTCCTGGTCACACTTTTTTCCTTTGGCATTTTATAAGTTTATTTGATCCAAACTGACTTCATAAGCTTTGGAGCCAGATCTCAGGTCCCCCCCGGGGGAGAGTTTGAGATGAAGGCGGCTGTCGGGCGGCTGGAGGCCGCGGTGGGGACGGGGTCTCCGCTCCCTGGGGGTGCCTGCCCCCCGGAGGGGCGGCTTCGGGCGTTTCGGAGGCGGTTCCCGTGCGTGAGAAACGGGTTTCTCTGTGGTCGCGCTGACGCTCTTTGGTTGGTTCCTGAAGGTGCCCCGGCGGGGACCGAACCGACCTGGGCGTTTCCCGACGACACTCTAACCGGGTCGCCAGCCGTGGTCCGCGAGGTCCGAAACCAGCTGAGCTACCGGCGGCCCTACGGACACTTTTGATTGACATTCTCGAGGGCCTAGTTGTGTTTTGTTGTTGGTGGTGGTGGTGGTTTTAATCAGAAAATGTCAGTGAAGGAACACCTCCCACCCAGGGTTTTTTCTTTTGTTTACTAAAATCAAAGGACTCTTAAGAATTTAGCAGGAAATTACATATATATTTTGTTTTATTTACTGAGGCCCGGTGCATGAAATTCGTGCAGGGGGGGGGGGTGTCCCCTCAGCCCAGCCTGCACCCTCTCCAATCAGGGACCCCTTGGGGATGTCCGACTGCCGGTTTAGGCCTGATCCCCGGACATCCCTCTCACAGTCCTGGATGGCTGGCTCCTAATCGCTCCCCCACCTGCCGGCCTGATC